GGGCGGCTCTGGGGCCGAGAGGGGCCCTGTGGGGTGGCGAGGGAGGAACGGCCGCGGGTTCTGCGGGGGCCGAGCCTACCCGCGGCCTCCAGCCGCAGCCCGGGGGACCTGCGGGGACCCTTCTGCTCTTTCCTCGGCTCCTGCCCTTCCCCTCGCCGCCCGAGCCTGCGGCCTCCGCAGCGGCCTCACGGCCGCAGAGATACCGTGTGCCCGCTCCTCGGAGGGAGCCCGAAGCCTTGTTGCTCCCCGCGGGAAGGAGCAGGTGCCGGCTCTCTCCCGCTCGCAGGGTGCCCGCGTGGCTGGGTGCTGGATGCAGGGGACTAGCTACCAGGTAGAGTGATGCTTAGGCAGGGAAGCTAGGCTCAGCTGCCATGCGGGCCGTGTGGTAACGCTGCAGCAGTCACTTGCTGCCTCGTTGAGGGACAGGGACTCCGTAAGCAGCTGGTGGAAAGCCTCACCCGAGCTCTCCTGGAGGGCAGTGCAGGCAGGTGGACTCGGATGCCTAAGCAGTGAACGTCCCAGGCTGGGGAGGAGGTGACGCAGGTGGCAGGTGTGTGCCCCGCTGATGGGTAGCCAAGGGGTTTTACCCTGTGGACTGACTATGGGAGACATCTCTGAGTCTTTCTTTCTGGCTGTTCCTCTTAGAGGCACCCGGCAGTAGGTGTGAGGTGATCTAGCCTGGCTCCCACTGTAGCCTGGCTCCCTGGCATCTGATGATGAGTTTGACCCCCTCCAGGGGATGCCTCCTGGACCTGCCCTGGGAAGACATCTTGGTTCCACATATCCTCTGTCACCTGCCACTGCAGCAGCTCCTGAGCCTGCAGAGGGTCAGCAAGTCGTTCCAGTCTCTCATCCAGCTGTACCTGGCCAACATGCGCTGCTTTGACTCAAGCCAGGTATTGGATGACTCTGAGCCTGGGGGAGACACAGATGTCCTACTTCCCTGGAACTAGCAGGGGAGCATCTGACTATGTGGGGAGAAGAAACCCCCAGGAAGGAGGCTGGTTTCCGCTCAGGAGCTTGGGTTAATGGCTCGGGTGTCAGACTGGACAGATGGGCTCAGGGAAGAGAGGCGGTGATTCAGCGCCCAGTAATGCCAGTGTCTTTAGCAAGAGGCCTTGGGAGGAGTGAGCCTGGAAGCTCCACCCAGGCCATTATGGGGCACTGGCTGGCAGAAACGCGAGCCAGCTCCAGAGTGGCGTGGCCTGTTGGTCCTTGCAGAGGTTGTGCAATAGGGTGGGTCTGATGGGAGATAACTCTGTGCCTGGTCTTCAGTAAAAGCTTGTGCTGGCCCTGGGAGATGCTGCCTGGGACTTGGAATGACAGGAGCAGCTGCTGTTCTGTGAGATCACAGAGTGGTCTAGCAAAGAGTTTTTGGAGAGCAGAGGTGTGGAGATCATCACGAGTATATAAATGCAGGGGCGATGATGGGGGTTGGAGAAGCCAGAGCATCTTCTAGCTTGTGGCAGTAGCCTTGGCATGAGGGGAGGAGAGCCTAATGGCAGGGTTTGCCCTAGGATGAGGAGAGGGGGTGGCTTTGGTCACTACTGTCACAGTGGAAGAGAAGCGGGGAGAGAGTATCTGGTAAGGATCAGGCTGATCTGAAGTCCTGGGGGATGCCTTATTCTTCCTGGGTTCCCCATGCAGGTTGGACCTGCCATACCTCGAGCTGCTTTTGTTAACCTGCTGAAAGACAACGAAGTACTGCAGCAGCTGGCGCTCCAGAACTGCTCCGACTGGCTGACGGACAGGGAGCTGCTCCCGGTCATTGGGCAGAACCACCACCTGCACCAGATCCAGCTAAAGGGCTGTGCTCAGCTTAGCCGCCATGCGCTGGTGGCCATCTCGCTGAGCTGCCCCAACCTGCGCCGGCTCTCGCTGGCTCACTGCGAGTGGGTGGACAGCCTGTCCCTGCGCAGCCTGGCTGACCACTGCAAGGCACTGGAGGCTGTGGACCTGACAGCCTGTCGCCAGCTGAAGGACGAGGCCATCTGCTACCTGGTGCAGAAGTGCAGCAGGCTCAAGTCTCTGTCACTGGCTGTCAATGCCAATGTGGGTGACGTGGCAGTTGAGGAGATTGCCAAGTGCTGCCCTGAGCTGGAGCACCTGGACCTCACTGGGTGTCTGCGAGTCAAGAATGACTCCATCAGGTACTGAGCAAAGTGGGGAGCTGGGTTGGGGATGGCAGGTGTCTGGGGTGGGGAGCAGAAGAGAACCAGAGACAAAAGTCGGATTTCTTCATGCTGAAAGCAATGAGAGCTCAGTCTGGGGGAGAAGCCAGTAGCAGGCCCTTCAGGAGAGGCCCTGTATGCTACTAATAGCAAATTTCCCAGCATGTTATGGAGCGTAGGTCTGGGATCTGACCACAACGCTTGAGTTTCTCTCAGACCAGTGCTGCTCCCAAAGGATGGTGCATATGTGACAGAGTCGTGAGCGCTGGGCTGCTAGGAGTAGAGAATAGGGTGAGCGGTACACTTAGGCGTCCTGGCTTGCAGCCTGCATGTGCTCTCTTTCTTGGCAGGGTCCTGGCTGAGTACTGTCCCAAGCTGCGCTCGCTGAAGGTGAAGCATTGCCACAATGTGGCCGAGTCCAGCCTGAGCATCCTCCGAAGCCGTGGGGTGGAGCTGGACGTGGAGCCTCCGCTGCAGAGGGCTCTTGTTCTCCTGCAGGACGTGGTTGGCTTCGCCCCTTTCATCAACCTCCAGATCTAGAACTGCTGCTGATGGGGAGGGGGGGACTGATGCAATGCTGGGATCCCAGGAGGATGCCAGAACCGGCTGCTGTCAAAGGGACGTGCGGAGGGAGAGGTTGGTCCTGTTGGTGAGGCTGGCCTGAGTGGGGCTCACTCTTTCCTCTGGGGCTGTTTAGCAGCCACTGGGTGTTTGTGAGTGGGCTTCGTTGGTGCCTCTGGGGAAAGTAACTCCCTCTGCAGTGGTGTGGAGAGAGCGAGTGACTTGCAGGAACACCATGGTGCTGAACAAGCCTTGGCCAGGCCAGCTAATAGATAGGATTTATTATTTGTTGTATTTTAAATCTCTAAGTGGCAGCTGTTCAGAGAGCAGGAGAGTGTTTGATGGGGACTGTCCTGTGGGGTGGGTGTGTAGGCCATGCCAGCAGAGCTGTGGAACAAACCAGGCCAGCTGAAGCAGAAAGGAGAAAAGCTGCCAGCCCTCCTCTTGGGAGAGGGCAGGCCCCTCTGGGCTCTGGGAGGAGGGCAGAGTGAGCCCAGCTCCAGCCCAGGGCCACTGGCCAGCCTGGCACCAAAAGGCTGGCATGGCCCTGGTGTAGGCAGTGTGTCTGTCGAGGCCTAGAGTGCTGGTTTAGGCTGATGAAAGGTGGGAGTTGTTTTCAGGGGGAATGCGCTCCTAACTGCAGTTTCATTGACAGAAAAACACCAGACCTAGCTGTGCTATAACTGAAAGCAGTTGGTCATTGCCATTTGTTTCTTCTAGCTTCTGACTTAACATTTCAGTAGTGCCCAGGCCTGCTATTATATCCTGCTCCGTGTTGTGTGGCTGGAGCTTTGGCACTCAACAGTGGTGAGAAACGGCAGGAGTGCTGGCCACGCTATCAGCTGGAGTTTATCGAGTGCTACAGGTTGTGTTGGCAGGGAGAGCCTAGCTCTGGTCTGGAGTTCAGCCTCAGCCGTTGTATCTGCTAGGTGGTTAATGAAACAGCAGCCATGTCTTGTGGTGAATGTGATGAAGAGTATTAGGAGAAGAGAGGATGACGCTGCTCCTATCTTTGGCCCCAGGAGGGATTGGAGGCAGTGTCTGTAAAGCATGTGCATGCTCTGGCTGAACTACACACCAACTCACGTCATCTTTATTAACACTGGCACTCAATTTAAAGCAACAGTGCACACAGACTTGTAAAAAGCTTGCTGCAAAAGTACAAGCCACATCTTAGATCTAAAAATGTCCCATGCAAGGAATAGCAGAGTATGGCCAGGCCCCAGAGAGCCACTGCGGTGTGCCCCTGGGGGCAGAGGGACAGCTACACAAGGAGAGAAATCTCCTTGTCAGCCAGGTTAGTTGAGGAAGCTGAAAGCAGTATTATGACTCCCAGGTTAGTTCCAGTTAGTGGCAGGTGGAGGAGTCCCCTCATCCCTAGTGCCACGTGTCCATCCTGCTATGCCTGGCTGGTGAGGTGGAGGCTGAAGAGCAGGAGGACCTGGCTGTCAGTGGAACTTGTACTTCCTGGCTGGTTTGATGCTGATGTAGGTTTTCTTCATCTCCTCGCTCTCAGGCTTCTTGATGTCTTTGTACCTCTCTCCCTTTGTACTCACCACCTGGTTATCAATATAGCGGATCAACTTCTTGGGAGCCTGCAAAGGAAAGACATTAACACCAAGTGGATGGACAGCCACACTGCTAGGGAAAGGGAGGAGATGAGCAGAAGCTGAGCTGTTCTCTGGGGGGTGGCTGCAGGAGGACTGGAGTGGGCTACTTTACCCATCCTTTGTGTTTGGAATCTTGGCCAAAACTGGGAATGAAGCTGTCTGATGGGGGGGAGCAGAAGCCATGTTAGTCAGGAATGGTAGGAACTGACAGACCCTGCAGCACCTTAGCTAATATTCCCTTTTTGCTGATTAGCAGGCTCTGTGAACAGTCCTGCCTTTGGCCTGCCCCATTGCTTTTTGGACTTGCAGCCTGATTTTTTAAACCTTGTAGCCAAAGGACAAACTGCTGGTGAGCTGGGACTGCTGCTCTTACCTCTTTGGGTGGAGCTGGACGATGTGTTTTCTGATCGTCTGCACTATCCACCATCATGTATCTGAAGCACAAGAAGCATTTAGTGAACACTAACATGCATTGCCTGGGGCTGTTCACAGCCTATGTCCTTTCTCCCCTGGCTGATTTGTGGCTGTGCAATGTGTCCTACTTGCCTAGATTGCAGCTAGGAGCACTTAACATTCCCCTCTGGATGAAATGGGCAAGAAGTGTGTCATCCTTCTGGTGAGAATCCAGCAGGATTCTCCTGGAGTAGCATCCTTGGCCACATGTGAAGGGTACTGAAAACTCAGGCTGTTGAGAATGCTGAATTGAGAGAATTCCCTGCAGAACTGAGAGGTGCTGAGGTCTGGTGTGCTCTGCCATTGGGGCAGCTTGGCTGCCATCACTTGGGCTGAGAAGGAGCAAAAGGAGACAGAGGTGAGACTGCAGGACCAAGCTGGCTGCTTCTGCCCTGAAGAGATGGTGTTCCTTTCACACTCCACCTACTACTTGACTACGAAACAGGTCTGTGCTGGAAGCAACTTCATAAAAGCATGACCTTATTCCCTATGTGACTGAAACATCAGGGCCCAAGCATTTGCTTGCTGTACTGCTGAGTTACTACTCTTGAGACTTTGGTGCTGGTTTAGCAGGCAGACAGCACAGCTGACCATGACTTCTCCCTTAGTAGTTAGTATAGTTGCTCCTGTGTACCTGCAGCTATGATGATCTGCTCTCTGTACCTGTGCTTGAGTGATGTTTAAAGTACAGGATGTTGCCAAAATGTCATTAAAGAGAAGTTCCCAGAAATGTAACTAGCAGCTGGTGCTTTTTTGTTCCCTTGCATGTCACTCTGAAACAAGCCTGCACAGGAGACAGGCAAGGATAGGGATTGTTAATTCTGCCTGGATGCCATTCTGCCTTGCATTATCTTCCCTAGCCCATTGACTGTTTATTCTGTCACAGGGGAGGATATAAAGTGGTGGAAAAGACATGGCTGGATAGACATGTGGAATCTGCATGCCCGCAGGAGGATGCTTATGAAAGCTGAGATCTTAAAGCAGATCGATGAAACCACACTGTGGGTTCTCCTATTGAGAATTAAATGCTTTTGGAAATGAATAAAGGTAAACCAATCTAAAGCCACTTTCATTCCCAAGAAGTCCACAGGGGGACTTCAGAGAGGTTTCTTTAAATGTATTGAATTCACACCTTCAGCAACTGAGATTTAATCTTTCCAGTGTTGCTGTACCAGTAGTCTCTTAAAGATATCTTTAGCCTCGTTTGGACTGTCTCCAAGGATGGAAGTATGAATGAGTTGCTGTAGTTCTACAAGTCACCATTTTACCTGAGCTGCAGCATGATGTCTGTGCCTTAAGCCTTTAACTGGTACCTCGGCTGACAGTACTGGGATTTACACTATGCCTGTAGGAGGCTGAAACCTCACACACAGCCAGCACTGTGACCCAGCTGGTGCAGGTGACCTGTTTCTGTGCCAGAGCTCTAAAAGGAACTCAAACCTGTTTTTTTTCCCCACCTGATTGTATTTGTGCTTTGCTGTGTTCAGCTATACCCAAATCAGCTTCAGAGCATCCTTACAAAGCATTGTACACCCCGAGTTCTTTATAGACCACATTGTAATTCTGACCTTCCCCAAACTGCCACCTCTTCCTTTACTGGAAGCAGAATAAGGGATTCTGTGCTGCTGGGTACTTACTTCTGTAGGATAACCTGTTTTAGTTCCTCGTGGTTGGGTGTTCTGCGGGGCCGTGCCAGTTCCTGGAAGAAGACAAGGCAGGTGTGTGAGTAGCACAACACGTGGGGCGTACAGCTACCCCCCTGCTAGCTTGGTCAGCCCAGCTGCTAATGCAGCACTCCAGCCCCTATAGGAAGCAGGGTGTCAGCCATAGCTCTACTGGGGTGCTGGCTTGGCTGGGGGTACAGCCTGTACTCGGAGAGCAGAGGGAGAGGGGCTGTTGCTCTGGGTGATCCTCCTGGCTCATTGTGCACAAAGTTCCTGCAGTCAAAGCTGCTGCTTGCAGCAGACAGCTGGGACACGTGTGTCCCTGAGCTCTGCCCTGCTCCTTGGCTTGCTGCCACCAAGCACAAAGTACAGTACCTTCACACTCACACCTGCTGGGCCAATTTCCACCTTCTCCTCCACAATTAACTGCACTGCCTCCTCCAAGTTCCCCAAGGCCATGGCGAGTGCCTTCTCTGCCTGGCTCACAGTACAGGCCGGGAACATCTCCAGTAGCAGCTCTACCCCATCCTTCAAGTCATTGCCTTCCTAGTTGGAACAAGAGATGGAGGTAAGCTGGGGATACAGCGAGGAGAGGGCTATTGAAGAGGGCCTCTCTGGTTTTGCATTGTCAGGAAATTCAGCTTGCCCTTAGCTGAAGGCTCTCTCTCCTTACAAGTGTGACTAAATTCCATTCCTGAAGCTAACAGGGGACTGTATCTTTGCAAGGACAAAGCATCACTCTTCCTTAACCTCCTCCCCCTGTATTTCAAATTTCTTTAAAGTAGGGCTGCTGCAAACTGGCTCATCTGCATGGCCGTGCTATGTGTCTCCTTAGGATTGAGCTTTCTGGACACTGGTGCAAATGCTTGAAGTTTTATGTGCTTTGATCAGAAAGGGAAGGGACTGTTAAACAGTGACCTGTGGCTACATCAGAAGGATGCACAGCAGCAGCATTTGCTAGAAGGCTATGGACACAGAATGATTGCACTGCAGAGCAGGAAGAGATCAGTACTGGAAAAACAGCAAGCAGAGTGGGGGGGAATCTGCCAGGTGTTGCAATGCCTGTAGCATGGGTCATGCTGAATGGTGCTGCAGGATCTGGACCACTGGGCCAATGACTCAGTGCTGTACAGCCCAGTAAGTGCACAGCACAGAAGGTCATTGAGGGTGGGACTGGTGACTTCGGGACTGACACCCAGACGTGACTGCTTCCTGTGGAGATACTGCATCATAGCTGGGGAAAGAAACTGTGATCCAGCTCAAGCTGTGGAGTGAGGCTAGGGGAACAGGGTGAAGTGGGGTGGAGCCTGGCTAGTGCTGCAGAGGCATCCCCACGGTGCTGCTGTAGGATCTCTGAGAGCACTGGGACAGGCTCTCCCAACCGTCACTGTGGCTCATCCTTTCCAGTGGCTGGAAAGGATGAGCCACAGCAATGGCTCATACTCTTCTGTCAGCACATAATTTTCTTCTTCCACTTACTGACACAGTCTTGCTCAGGCCATACAATGGAGAAGATCACAGATACCAGTGATGCTGTGTCACGGCCTACGCTGTGGTTCCTTCCAGAGCCAGAAAATGCCCTCAGGTGGTGCTCGTAGCCTAGTGCTGGGTGCCTGTCCCCAGTACTCCTGCTCCTCTGCGGGGTGCTCATACCTGGGCCCCAGCTCCATCTGTTGGAGTGCGCAGCCTTTCCCCATTGCAGGCTCCAGCTTCAGGCTCCTGGCCCTTGGTCAGGTCTTCAGAGGGTGTTTCACTCCCGCTTTCCACAGCCTTTTGGCCTGGTTTTTCTTAAAGACATAGTGATATCTTCTGAGGAACAGTCCCACTAAAGCTAGAGCTCCTGCTGGCATTAGATTGCTAGTGCATCGTGTGCCAAAGCAAATCCCTTCTTAAGTGACAAGAGTGGGAAGCACTACTGTTCCTCCTGCCCGCACCGGGGACAGCTGCAGCTTTGCTCACACTGACCTGCAGGAAGGCAGTGATAGTGCATGCTGGAGTGCTGCATCTCCAGGCCTTACCAGGCGTGGGCTGCTTGCAAATTCAGTTCTACCTGTCAGTTCTCAGCCCTCTAGCACTTTGGCTATGGATACTTACCATATTTTTGTTACGCTTCTAAGAATTCCCTGGTGCTTGCTCTAACTTTGAACTAGGTGTGGTTTTAATTTTAAATTTAGTAATACACTTTGGTAGTCCCCAGGCTGTATGTGAGCCAGCACATCCTGTGATCAGGTTACTCTGATGCATCTCTCTTTACAGGCTCTTTCTGTGTCATTGTAAGAAGAATCATTTCACCTCTGTTCTGTCCTCTCTAAAACTGGTATGGTGCTGTCCTTCCACACTCTGGCTACATCAGGATCCTCAAAGGGTAGGATGCAGGGGACCAGAGCACAGCAGTATGTTTTGTCAAGTTTAAGCAAGCAGCAAGAAAGATAAAAGACAGGACTGGCTGTTGTACACTGTGTAGCCTTCTGGCAAGACAGCAGTGATGTTGCTAGATAAGCAAAACCCAGACTGGTGTGTCCTGAAAGGTTTGATATCCAGGCACTTCAGCTGTCTGTTCTTTAGTGGGAAATACCTTTGGGGCTGATTTAATATAGCAATCCAGCTGATCTGTGAATGCTGAGGTTAGAAAGGGCCATTGGGATAGTGTAATCTTCTGCACTCCTACATAGTGCAGGCCAGAGCACATCACTGCTGATTTTGTATCCATGCCAGGGTTCATGGGTGAATGGGAAGTGAGCTTTGAGGATGCTCAAAGTCTAGAAGTGATATATGTAATCAGCTGGATTCTCTATCTGATGATGTACCTAACACGGGCTGCCCAGTGGTAGTGTCACTTAGACAGATGGCTATCCGAGGCAGGCAGAAATCCTCACTTTCAGAATTAACCTACAGTAGAATTTCAACAAGCAGCCCTGTATCTGCTATTTCTTCATTATTACTCTGGATTTGATCTCAACAGAGGTGTTTGGAGATCTGATCAAGGGTTTTTCACCCCAGTATGACTTGGACAGTATTCCGTGTGACTCAAACCTCCCATGTGTTGATATCAAAAATCCAACTGAACATTAAAAAAAAAACTGTCAATCAATTCAGGCTACCTTATGAGATCCTAATTGTGACAAACAAGACTGTATTTTATCCTGTGACATTGCTCAACTCCAAATGCTAAGACTGAAACCATGTACAGAATATACCTTCTTGTGCTGAAATTGTCTGTGTAACTCACCTTTGTTGCGAGCTTCACCAAGACTTTCTGAGAGGGAGAACATCATTTCACAAACATCCCCACTGCAAGAGACAGAAGCTGCATAACTAGTGTGAGGAATAAAAGCAGTAGCCTATCCTAGCTGGCTGCCTCTTTATAGAAAGACAAAGCTTGATGGGAAACCCAATAAAATAAACTGGTATTTCAGATGGCCAAGGACCTATTTGCAAACTATACTGGGATTAGCATCTGTGTATTCAGGCAAAGACTGACTTAATCATAATGGCACAGGTTTGGTACTAATACATATTCAACTGGGTCTAACAAAAGAATTTATGGTACTGAGGGGCTTGGGCCCAGGCCCCTAGTGCATGACATGCACATACAAAGCAGTAACATTTACATACCTGTGGATTTCTGCAAAACCAGGGATATATGCCTCCATCATTTCCACAAATGTGTCCATGTCAAAAGTCTCCTCAGAGGACTCTGGTAAGCCTAGCTCTTCCAGGACACCCGTGATATAAGAGAAGAAAACATCATCCATCCCACTGGAGACAGAACACAGGACATGGCAACAGGGTCAACAGGCCTGTTTCTCTCTCTCTCTCTC